GCACTCAAGGTGATCCTAAGGCGAGACTGTAGAGTGAGACGAGAGTGAGAGGCTGAGTGAAAGAAAGCGAAAGAAAAGCGGTCCTGATGTTATTTTTTGACTCGTGACTGTTAAATGTCCACGATAAGAAAATACCAAAAAAAGAAATACGATTTTTATGTAAATATTGTAAGGGACGCCGTACTGACGTTACTGTAATCCTTATTGGATGCTATTTCGAGATAAAATTTTAAAAAAAGGTATTAAAACTCATGATTGAAAATTTAATAAAAATTGAAATAATACGAGATATGAGTTGAATTAAGAAAGCAATTATTCATACTTCAATGAAAACATAAGTACAACTAATACATACAAGTATAACAAGTCCAATTCGCAGATATCGGCGTTTCTAATTTTCATTACTGCTTTCTTGTTTTTTTTTTTGCTAGTAATGATATGATGACAGTATTGAAAATAAAACGTTCCTATGAAAAAAAAAATGCTTCAAAGTCCATCGCATCCGATAAGGCTCGACAACGGTACGACGTGATTTCAACCCTCTCCTTTTCTATTCTCCAATTTCTACGTGTTTAATCGCTAAATGAACAATTGATAACAAGTCTAGACAAAGAGCAACCGCGATAGGAAGGGAGAGACGCTTCGATTACTATTATTGTGCAACGTTTATCGTTAATAAACTCGAAGAATCTCGACGCAATACAATTTTCAATCGCGTGTATATACCTAAGCGAATGATAATAATATAACAGTTGGGATATAAGTCAAAAGTGTGAGAGTATGCGTGAAAGAAAGAAAGAAAGAATGAAAGAGAGGGAGAGAAAGGGGAAGATAAAGAGGACAAGAATACGAGTGAGATAGATCTTGTTTCGCCTAGTCCTTGCGACGCTTAATTAATTAGGCGTCGTGTATATCTCGAGCGAGTGTTGTGTTTAATTCGCAGGAAATCAGCGAAATCGCTTTCATGTTCGTTTTTTTATGATTTTTTTTCTCGCGTTTCGGTGATTTCCGGCCTCCGGATAAAAGTTGATGATGATCGTCGTAAGTGAGAAAGAACGGTGGATTATAATGAAAAGTGCGACGAAGCTAGAACTATAAGGTTTACCGAAGTAAGTTAAGAGATAAGCTAATTAAAGTAACAGTTTATTGAAAATTAAGTACATTGTTGCAACTGCCATGCTGTGTGCCATTATATAACGAGTCACGTTTGTCGTAAAAAGCAAAAAGAATAAAAAAAAAGAGAGAAGAAGAGCTGAAGATGAAGAAGAAGAAGACGTTAGGGGACATACGAAGTAAAATAGTATGTCTGTGAAATATTTGTGCGCGTTCTCATCTGTCTAAAAAAAACTTCTTGGTTTATAATGCTTCGGAATCGTGGAATTACACCGTCGTCCTCGCACACGTCGCATTAAAATCCCTCCTGATAATGCAGTATTTTGTTATACAATTTACTATACTATTATGAGAACGACCATTTTTCTCGAACAACAGTGGCGGAATTTTTTAAATGATACGTAATACGAGGAGCAAATTTACGGGCCTTTTATTAATACGTATCGACTATTAGCTTTGAAGATATGATTTCGCGAATATATATCATTCGACGGAAAGAAAGAAACGCGTCGAAAGGATTATGGAAGAATACGGAAAGGACGACGGGGTAAATACCCAACAGCCCAGATATCGCGCACGATTTCGCTTGAGCTCGCGGAACTCGCGTGTACCTGCTTGTGCAAATTACACGTGTGGACATAAAATATGTGGTAATAATATCGTATTTAACATACGCGAAACATACATGTACGTTAGTACACGTGCAGGCATATGTGCGACACTTTGCATGTGAGGAACGAGGCTCCGAATCGAAATTCACGACGAAATTCAGCGCGACGATCCGTTTCTGCAATGGCAAGGCACGATCGCTGAGAGTAAGAAAAAGTCTTACATCCTGTGAAAATACTTTTGCATTTATTTCGACGGATGCGGTGATTATGATAAGATTTTCTGTATAGATATAATGATATATACACATATACATATATATAACGTCTGTTAATAATAATAATTTATTACGCGCGCTAAATCGTTTCGTTACATCGCGTTACGTAGAAAATTTATCGACGTTGTTAACGATTGTCTTCCTTTGATAATCGATAGCCTGTATAATGGCCACATCCGTCGCTATTAGTAAATCGCTGTAATACTGTTATTACATGAAATAATTACTTGAACGAGTATGCATTCAGAGATCTTTTGTTTAATTTTTCAAGATATTTATTTTAATTTAGACTTAATAATTTGATTTATTCCAAAAATTTAATGCAATATTTTAGATATTTAAAACTGTATCAGGCATGTATATACACTTAAATATATATTCAATATGTATTAAATGTGTATTAAATATTTCGACTTTTATTTAAGATAAACTGATACATTAAAAAAAATTTATGTATTCAACACACAATTATACATATACATACGTATATGTGAGGAACAGTAATTTTTATTTTCACAAAAAATGGAAAGAATTAAAAACATAAAGATGTTTAGCGTTTTTATGGCGATTCGTCGATGACCAAGTAGCAACGGATCGCTACGATTGCACGAGCCGATTTCGTGTAACGCGATGTCTTACAATAGCGAGTATAATCCACTCTCGTTAGTTGACCGACGGTATGTTGTGAGATAATAAGGAAAGATTTAATAAGTAATCACGTAAAGAAAGAGAGAGAGAGAGAGAGAGGGGGGAGGAGAGAGAGAACAAGGTCAACCCGTCATAGATTCAAGCACAATAAGGACTAGTAGGGCCAGGCACAATAAAATTCGGCCGTCACATTGTAGGCAGCGATCTGTTAGAGCGACAATTCGTATAAGTATTCATATAGCGAGGCTATTAAATAAACACATATTGTCTATTGTCCGACGAGTGTATTTATTGTTGACGCTGATCGTTCCCTTCTGCAAGCCTCTAAACAATCTGATATTGAAATAAATATTTCACGGAGGAAAAGACTAACATTTATTCTACACTTATTAACTCCCCAGTTTCTATTCCTGAAAATTTTTAATTATATTTTATATAGTGTAGTCTGTGTAATATGTACAATAAAAATGTAAACCATTGTATACCAATATATGTATACCAACATGTGCGATTTTTAGTTCACGCCATAGACCTTTGTAAAGTTTGTACAAAATTTTTAGATTTGACGGATACCCATTTCTGTTCGTATAGCAACATAAAAAATTAATCAGATCGAAATATCAATTACCGATTTCAAAAGTAGAGATTTCAAGCTTTAAAATGCTTTTTTAAAAATCTCGTTATGATCATTTTCGACGAAATTACACTCTTCTGAATTTTTATCTATTTTTGAAGACGGACTAGGTGAATCTTTAATTTTTTTGTGTAGTGTATATATATATACATGTATATATATGTATGTATAATTCACATTGAATTATTTAGGCATTAAAGATTTAGTTTCGACCGGTATAGCCATTTTTAATTTTTAGTATTTATTGTGTTCTCACATGGTACAGTCTAAAATAAGATTCTTACTGATTGGAATAAACTTAAAACATTTCTCAAAAATGGTAATTATATCGCCAACTATTTTGATTAATTAATCACATTATATGTATAAGCACATATACATAATCACTATTAGAAAAATAGAAAGTCACTTATACCTGCAGTTTCCACACAATATCATTATTCATATACAAAAGTTTATCGAAGTTAAAGCAGAACAAGTCATTCATAAACAAAAGTTTTTCGCAATTAAAGTAGAACAATTTACGATAATATCAAAATGACATTAAACTGAATCATGATTGATCAAAAAATGACTTTTAGTAAACATTTTGGAGCCATTTTAACATCATGATGATTTTTTGTTCTCTCTAAATATGTTTTTCAATTTATTGAATATGATAGATTTTAGAAACATTTCTGTTAAAACATTTTATATGACATATTGCAGAATACTTTTAGAATTGTTGTATATTTTTTAATCATTTCAAATCATATGACAAACTCGCGAATATATATAATGGCGGAAAATGAGGTCAGCGCGTTGCTATGCGCAAACTTGTTTTAATTACGAGCACACCATAGGCCTGTTCTTTTTGGCTGAACTTTTGCACCAGTTCATCTTTTTTCTTCTTCTTTCCTCCTGAAGAGAAAAGAAAGAAAGATGAACTAGTGCAAAAGTTCTACTTGCATCATGTTCAATTTGAAGTAGGTATCTTAGAATCTGAAGTCTGCTTCATAATAGTGTCTGCATCTTAGAAGTCTGCATTATAATAATAAAATAAGAAAGGACAACACAGATATGTCAAGGAATACAAATGCTTTAATAACAGAAAGTAAGTTAATGCAGTGAAATTACAATTGGATTATATTAAGTGTAACTTAATATTATATATATTATGTTAATTTATTATTTTTATAACTTTATAACCCATACAGCACTGAAAGTTTTCAAACATATCTCAGAAATATTCCAACTGAAAGATGAAACATTTCATAAAAATTGCGAAATATGTCTGCAACATTTCTGAGACAGCTCTGAAATAGCAAAATGTCCGCGATTCTTGCACATGAAACCTTGTTGAAAGATTGATAAAATATCATAGCAGAAAGAATCTGCAATCGTTTTGAAATATTACCAAAGAAGTTTCAGCCATTTCTAGTATTACGAAAATGATATTTGATTGATAATATATATATAATTATTAAATTATTTAAATAATATTAAAATTTATTATGTCGACATAATAAATTTGAACATTGTTTAAGTATCAATTAAACATATATTTAAATATCATTTCTGAAGTACTTAAAATTTATTGAAATAAACTTAAAGTATTTCTCAAAAATAGTAATTATACCGCCAACTAAAATTTTGATTAATTAATCATATTACAATCATTCACAATTTTTTTTAAATAAAGATTATTCAATTGATAGTCTATAATTCAGATCGATCGTCGCGTGCTAGATTGGAGCAACATACCAAAATATTCGCGTCTATGTGTCCCGATGAAATCCTCGATCATTATGACAATTACGAGACCAGAGAATATGACACAACGTTGATGCTCGGCGATGTTTCAGGTTAGAGATATTTGTTGAATTATTAAAGGAGAGAGTAGTATTATGACACTCCAGTTACATTTTACAAAGTAACTTTGTTAATAATCAATATTTAAGTTTAAAATTTGACAGTTATATTCGTTGAAATGTTGTTGAATCGATTTTGGACTCAAAGTTACGAAATATTTATTATTTAGGATACTATTAATAAAAATGTGGCAACATTGCATAATGACTCGAAGTAAAAATGGATGGTAATGTGGCCTTCCATAAAAATAGCCTTAAAATATTGATTTTATTTAGAAAACAGTATTTGGTTACAAAATTAACAAAAATGTAAAACATTTTTAAATGTATGTAAATGAATGCATATACTTCTGCATATAAGCTGTTCAGTACTAAAAATCTCAGTACTAAAAATAGTATACGTAATATTATATAAACTATAGATTAACGGTAGAGCTACAATCGATTATCAAATAATTATTTTGATATAAAAACCTTAAAAAAGAGGTCGTGATAAATCAATAGCCATTGAGAGCCACATTAGCGAAATGACATGCTATTATTTAAATTTGCATAACTCAAAATATATACAGTCAAATAAAATATTAAGTAACAAATAACACTCAAAAATACATATATTCATGTAAAAATACGCTTAAGTTTAAGAAAAATGAGGAAATAGGTGTAATTAAGTGCTAAAATATACTTCAAAAATATTTCGAAATACTTGAAAGTAAAAATGCGTTATAATAAGTGCTGGCTATTGAATATATCAGCGTCATGGCGTAACAGCGAGCTACCGAACAAATAATTTCATAAATATTCATTAAGATTCGCTATATAATAGCGGAGATATTAAAGGAGGCCACAATATATACACTAGCCATAATACCATCTTCTCCTCTATATATCAATTATATTATCATGACGAATCACAAATTATAATGTGCAATTTTAATTAATGCAGGATTCACAGATCTCACAGAAAAATACACGAAGACCGGTGTTGGTGGTCCGTCTAAGTTATCGGAAACTTTGAACAGCTACATCGGCGCGATGGTGCAGGAAATTCTTTCTCATAATGGGGATGTTGTGAAATTTTCCGGCGATGCGTTTATAGTAATGTGGAAACTCCAAGAAGGGATGCTTATGCGCGATATCGCGACGGAGGCAATGCAAACTGCATGCATCATACAGAAACATTTTGGAACCTATAACACTGACGTTGGTGTAACACTCAGAGGTACAATTGCACCAATAATGCATCAATACGTCAAAATGCTAAATTCTAGCGTTTTCAAAAGTCAACATTAATAAGTTTACAAATCAAAATTTACGAGCAAATAATAATTGACAGGTTTATACTTTTTAAAAACATTATACAATAGATTGCAGAATCTCCGATACGATGGTAGTTAAAAAAAGTTAATTCAATAATATCTTTGACAGTAAAACTTGCCATTGCTTCCGGAATAACGTATTTCACGTCTATTGGCGATCCAGAAACGATGTCTTATTATGTCATTACTGGAAAACCTGTTTGGGATGTTAAATTTGCCGAAGGATTATGCAGGTATTACATATAGTGAAATATTATCTAACAATATTTTTTAACTTATTTTTTTAAATGCAAGCAGGTATATAAATTATTCAATAGTGTATAAGTTTAAAGTGAAACAAATGAAAAAGGAAGGAACAAAGATAATAATCTATTTATTTACTGTATTCATTAATTATAAATAATAATTAGTATAAATTTATAAATTGTTATTATAAATATAAATTAATATAACCAATAGAATCAATGTCTTTAACGGTCTTAGCTAGATCTTAAGTGCTTATTTAATTCTGTGTGAATTTATATACTACGTATGTAGTCCTTTAAACTGCGTGCACAGAAATGATTTTTCGGTCTTGAAACGCAAACTCTATTAAACTACCGCAGTAATATTACGAGTTAAATTGACTGGCAATTTAACAATTTGATGTTTTTTCACATCTTAGAACGATCTTAATAATGCTGAGTAACATATTACTCGTTAAATATTAACTTGTAATATTATACTGCGGTAATTTAGTAGAGTTTGAGTTTTAAAACCGAAAAATCATTTCGACACGCAGTTTAAAGAACTACGTAGTATATAAATTCACACAGAATTAAATAAGCACTTAAGATTCAGTTAAAACCGTTGAAAGCATTATTCTGTTGGTTGTGTTCTCACGTGTACGGTCGAATAAGATTCAACATTGAACATTATAAATTAATAGATGTAAATTTATTTATACATTTATGAGGTAAAAAATACTGAAGAGAATAAAAAGCGCTCCGCTAATTTAATTTATCAAAATTACTTTTCGTTAATTTTATGAGAGAGGAACAAATCAAATGTATATATAGTGATACAATAAATTCTATCTAGAGGTGGCGATATTCTTGTGGCACCCAGTAGTTGGCAATGGGCAAATCCTAGCGAATATGTTTATGAAAAGTTACCGGACGGTATACATATTCTGATCATAGCTTGCTCAGCAATGTGGTATCAATCTAGACCTCACAATATTCACAATGGTATTGTTGGAATCAGTATATGATTTTATATTGTTAAAATAAGAAGCTTGAAAGCCAATGCTAGATCTTTGTGATTAATTTGTAGTTGTTTAACTTTGTTAATAAATTTAACGTTATAATGTTTAAAAAAATTATTTAATTGCCTCGCTGGCAAATTAAGAATTTTTTTGTATCATGTACCAATTAATTTACTTTGTGTATTTTTTACGATGATTTATTTAAATGTTCTTCAATCTTATTATGAAATGACTGCTGCATATGTTCTTCAATCTTATTTTATGATATACTTGCTGTTAAAAAATTATTATTTTGAATTCTTTCGCAGTGATTAATTTATATAGTGGAAAAACGTAAAGTCTAATTCTAATAAGTAATAAAACGTATTGCAATTAATAGATGACAGAAACACCGAACATGATAGAAATTTTCTTGATTCATTGCGTAATAACAAAGCGCCAAATGATGCAACCTTAACGAATTGGACCGGTGATACTCAAACAGAATATTTCGAAGAAATTGGTTATAGCTGTGAGTAAAAAAACGTACAATCTGCATTATACGTTATTTATTTTTATATTATTTTTATATAGTCCTGACGACTCCACGATTTTTTTCTTTTGGAAGAATCGGTTCCACGTCGCGACTATCGATGGCATTTATGAGTGCAGTCCTCTGATAATAATTTGAAAGAACTAAAGGGACCAAACAACTTCCGCGAGATAAATATCAATCAACCGGGAAAGAATGTCAGCACTGTGAAGCTGACCAACAATTCTATTTTAAGTAAAAAAGAACAGACGCCACGTCGCACCAAAATGTATCGTAAAATGCATGGGGTCTCCCACGCTAACGTTATCAGACTCGCGACTGACAATGGTTAGCCTGCACGTAATAACCTTAAAAACTAGCTGTATTCCCCGACCCTCCAAAATTCCGAGGAATCTTAATTTCCTTCTCCCACTCACTCTTCTCCTCCTCCTGAAGATAACCGAACAATGGACCAAATTTTTGCCACAAGAACGCTATCAGTTACGTCTTTCCATTTTCCCTCTCCTAATTCCCTCAACTTCCCGTGAAATCAAAAGAATCTTGGGGTCTGAACGTAAAATTTACATTGTTCCGAATTAATTTTAGATTGCAAATTGCATTTATAAATATAATTTTTTAATATTTAATTTAGTGAGGCCCAAAGTTATAAAGGCAGCTAAAGAGGGATTGAAAGATTCATTGAGAAGCTATATGCTTAGACCAGTAATACGGTCAGTAGAAATGGGGGAGCCATTAGAATACCTCACAGAGATGAGGCAAGTAGTTATACTCTTCATCAACATTATTACAACGGTCATGGATAACGAAGAATTGATCTCGCTCGTTAACACGGCTTATAAATTAGTCTGTGGGTAAATATCTAAATTTATAATATATTTTTACCAGGCCTTTTTTATATATTATCGAGAACTATATTAATAATTATATTTATATTAACGCAGTAAGCCGCAAAAATAACATTTTCTCTTATATTAAATACTACAATATAATTAATTTAAAAAGGACTTATTCATAATATTATTTTGCATGGTTATGAATGTTTTTTTAATAAGTATAAACAATGACTTTTTATTTTTCTAGGGTAGTTTGTGAGATGAACGGATGTGTGAACAAGACATCTCTTTTCGACAAAGACCTAATATTTCTTTGCATATTTGGACTGCGGGGCGACAAACACGTGTTGGAATCACAGATTGGATTGAGATGCGCCAGTAGGGTGCGGCAGGATCTTTTAGCGATAAAAAATGTACAATTCGTGACGATCGCTGTTACCACCGGAATGACATATTGCGGTGTAGTCGGTCATATTTTACGGAGGGAATATACTGTGATCGGAATGTCAGTGAACAAAGCAGCCCGTTTAATGGTCGCATACAATAACAAAGTAATTTAAATCTGGAAAAAAAAATTACATATTTAACTTTTGTTCATATTCTGTTTGTTTATTTTAGATGTAGCTCATTAAAGGTAAATAAACTCTTTTTCTTCACAAATATGTGATAATTGAATTAAAAAATAAATTACCATACATCGACATTAAATTTTAGTTCCTTTATGATTAAAACATAAATATTTTACTTTTATTTTATGCAGCAGTGTAATTTTTATCTTTAAGGTAATATGCGATCGAGAGAGTTTTTTGCGCTCTCGTCTTGAAGCGAGACATTTTATATTGCAAGAGCCAAGACATCTGAAAGGAATCACAAATGTCGGTCCAGTTTATGAGTTTCAAGAACAGATAAAGTATTTTGCAATTTTTTAAAATTTTGTATTTTTCTGGAAATTGTTTACTTTCATAAAGCGTTATTTCTTAAAAATACATGAATTTATATGTGATTGTATAGATTTACTACGCCTGAATTAATACGGAAAAAGTATCCTTTGCTTGGACGACAAGAGGAGATCAAAATTTTTCAACAAATGTTATCAAATCTGATAACACGTTTTACTGTGGATGTAACAACGCAACATTTGCAGCTCGAACACAATATGCTGATTATAAAGTGAGCGATCTAATTTCTATTGAAACTTTAATTTAATTTCTTAATTTGTAATTTTCTTGATTGTCTCAATTTGCAAATTATTTTTATAACATTTATTAATCTTTTTGTATTAATCTTATAGTAACTAATTTTTATTATCTTCTTTTTTAGAGGTGAACCGAGAATCGGCAAGACGAGATTGTTGGATGAAATTGCACAGAATATACCTGAAAGTATACCACGCAACTATATTTCCTTGGTTATGAGCGATGCTAAGGTTGACTGCAAGATTTTTTTAATACATATTTAATTTAATCGATGTTAGAAGTACATACACAAAATCGAAAGCTTATCCTTCTTTTGTTATATTTTAATTAGAAGTTATTATTATTTCAATAAAGCATTTACCCGTTAAATAATTATTAATTAAATTTTTTATTTTTTTCAATTAAAGATTAAGAGTCAGAACAGAGTTTAAAACTGAATGATTTTTTTTTAAACACAGACTTCTTACAGTTTGATCCACCTGATATTTTCCATACCGTTGGGCTTCAGTGTCGTCACCACCCCGAGAGAGCGTGAAGAAATATTGATGTCACGACTAGGCCGTATACGCAAACCAGAATTTCTTTGTGCCCTTAATCAGCCCTTCAACGTGCATTTTATGATGAATTCACACTACACAGCGCTATCCAGGAAGCAAAAACACAATGTGTTGCGCAAGTTTCTACTGAAATTAATGAGAAACTGCTTCAGGAAGCTATGGGTGATAATTATCGACGACACTCAGCATAGTGACAATGATTCTATGAAATTGTTTCGTACGATGATCAAGCAAAACACAGTCTTCTTTATCCTCAGTTTTGGACGTATGTTCAACGGCGAGTACGAAATATACCCCGATATTTTGGAGAGGGCACGAGTACGAACATTGAAATCGATAATTAAAATGATTTCTGTAGCCGTCAATAACGCACTTCTTCCTTATATTTCATAATTAATATTTTACAAAAAAAAATAAAAATGTTGCATTAAATTTGCATATGCGATATATTCTTCTACATTTAATTTTATTGCTATTCTTATATGCAGAGATATACACAAAACTATAAATTATTCTTTATTATTAATAGATCATCGAATTGAGTTGCATAGACAAATGGTACCACGCAGCGCTTGCATGTCAGTTCCTTGATGCAAGCGGAATTCCTCCAGAACTCGAGAGGTTGGTCGTTAAATACGCAAATAACTTTCATTGATAAACAATCACAATATACATAGATTTCTCTGTGTCTATATTTTGTGTATCTGCACTTCATACTTTTAGATTGATTCAAGAAAAAAGTTTTGGTAATCCAGGATGGATAGAAAGTTATTTGCTGAGTCTCACGCAATCTGGTAGTCTTGTAACAGTGCATATCAGCAAAATGATTGCCGAGGAAATAGGTTATGTGCTTCCTCCCATTTATATGTTGAAAAGGTCTTATTATTTTATCTATAATTCTAGATTCTAATTTATCCGATATCTTTATCTTCTCTTGAATATATTATACGATTGTGATGTAAAATTAAATTATATAAAAAGAAGTATTTAAACAAATCAAAAAAGATTAATTCAAAAATCTTTCCAAATATCTTTTTCATTGTAGGTAATAATTTTATTAGGTAATAAGCTATGAAACATTTTTTCTTACTTGTGAGTGCAGATATATTTATATATTAATATTATCAATAACAGTAATTAACATAAAATTATTACGAATACACGATGATCAATAACTGTTTAGGTTTGACTCAGAAGATATCTTTCTAAATAACGAAGAAGAACGTTCAGACAAGTGGAAAATGTACAGGACAAGCTATCGAGTATATTTGCTCTCTTTCATTTTATTAATTATTTTATATAATTAAAAAATGATAAGATATTCGTTTTAATTTTAGAACAATTCAGTGTCTTCAATGAGGTTGCAAACCATCATTCACCAAACGAAAATACCAATTTATGATGAAGAAACAATTGCTGTTTGCAAATTTACAGAAGGTTTTGTATCAGAAGAGGGAGATGCTGAAATAACGATGGACGGTAATTATATTTAAAACTATTTTCGGTAAATATTCAAATGGAGAGAGCCAGTATCGACCTTGATCTTGGCATATGTTGTCAAGGCCATGATCCTGAGTAACCTCCAACAGATTTTAGCCGTCGCTCGTTGTTCGGTAAAAAGTTATTAACAAAAAGTTTGAAAAATAACGTCTCATTTTTACTACATATAATATTAAGAACGATCTCTAACTCCCCCCCTGCTTAGGAGCGCACTTTCCATCGAGGTCCACCTCATCTTCACCCCTGCCAACGGACGTAAGACTTTTTATGCGGATAGATCTTTGTATAGTACTTTGTATGGAAAGTCGAATGCCTCTAGGCAGGGGAAGTTGGTGGGGTGGAGCTCACTTTGTGTGGGAAGCAAAGAGGTTGTATACATAGAGTAGGAGAGCTAAAAATGCGTGAGCGAACAGAAAATGAGATGGGTATCAGCATCCTTATTTAATCGCGCATGCGCTGTTGACTTTCACTGTTAGGGGTGGAGAGATTTCAGGAGAGCAATATCAATGCCGCCCCACTCAGCTTTCAAAGTTCGATGCGCGCGCAACATATTTGACAAAAATAAAGATACCCATCTCGTATTCTTTCCCTTTCTACTTACAGGAGCCCCTATGCCTTGCCTACTCTATGTATATAACTCTTTGGTGGGAAGTCGTGCGCCCCTCGGCAAGGAAGAGATAAGGTGGAACTCGCTTTGTTTGGAAAGTCATTATGTCCCATAAATAAAGAGTGTAAGTTAATATTTAGTTAATAACTAGTTATAAATTACCCACCTTTTTAATAAGTTAATGTTTATTTCTATTTATATAGTATAATATTTTGAAATATATATTTAATAATTTGCACAATACTTTTATTTTTTATATCGTACAATATTTTATAATTATCATATATTATGTTGTCAGCAATGATTTTGAAAATTTTCGACTCGTTAACACCATTGGATCAAATGCTATTAAAATGCGCGTCGGTGTTGGGAGAAATTATTAATAGAAGCATGTTACAATACCTAATGGAAGATAAATCTACATGGGAAATTGGACTCGGTAAAGAGATATTTAGGAAAATGCAAATGTTGTAATAACAACTTCTAGAATTCTTAGAGAATGCATGATTTAAATAATTATATAACTTTGTTGTGCTATTAAATATTGTTCAAAGTACTTATTGTTATCGTAGCTGTCAAGAAACTCTTTGAGATTCGAATCTTTGGATGCGCACGAGGCGATTTTACGAGCGGTAGACCGCTGGTATTCAATAGAAATATAAAGGAACCTATTCTCGAGACACAAATTGCGTGCGAATGTGTGGCTCTTATGATACCAGGTGTAGTTAAGCAAATATTTGAATATAAAATATAAAATTATATTCGCTTAAAATTTTTAATAAAAGCCAAACTTATTTAGAAGAACTAACTGATCTACCGCGGCACGCGTCTTGCGGTCTGATGTATTTCAAAATGTCGATGTTCCGCGAAACTACTTACAGGTAATGGATGATTTTACTATTCGGATATAATAATAATAGAACAATAGATATATATATATATAGGGTGTTTCATTTTAAGTGATATAGTCGATTATCTCGCGAATCGATGATTTTATTGAAAAATTTTTCCAACGGAAGTTGCATGGCTTAAAGGATAACGCATGATGAAAATATGGACTTGACCTTGAGTGACCTTGTCAAAATCAGGTCAAGGTCATTAATGTTTTTTTAAATGGAAACTCCTATTTTTTATTACATATTCTTGTAGCTTATTTCGAGAGCTTTCCAAAACACTATAATTAAGTTCATTTTCATTAAGTACTTTTCGAGTTATATAAGGCTTGAAAGTTACAGTACCGCCGGCATTAGCATTACCCAAGATGACGATTAAAACCTCTTAAATGTTGTTCAGGATTACCTGGATAACATTTGTCAAAATCAAAGTCATTGGAGGTTGTACCTCTTATTTTCACTTTTACGTAGAAATGAATTTTTAGTGCAAAAATGAAAATAAGAGAAACAACCTCCAATGATCAAATACCCACTTTTCATCTCCCGTCACTATTTTGTGCAGGAAGTCTTTCTTTTTATATCGAGAAGGCAAAGACAGAGCTGTATCATAGCGTCTCGCTTTGTTGTCTACGGAAAGAACGTGTAGAATCCAACGGCCCTCTTTTTGAATTTTTCCCAACTTTCACAATCGAATAGAAATGGTTGGTTGAGTTACTTTTAATTCTAAAGCAAGTTCAGATTCGGACTGACATGGGTTTTCTGCCAATAACTGCTTCAAACCATTATCTTAGAACTTCTTTGGTTGTCCAGGCCGTTTGTCATCTTCGAGATTAAAATTTCCATCCCGAAATTTATGGAACTACTTTTTACATGTATTATAGGATATAGCATTCTCTCCTGCTAGACAAATCATTTCCTTTGCCTTGGAAGTATTTTTTTTCAATTAAAACGCGAAAAGTAAGCAGTGCTTAATATGTACTTTGTCGCACGACATCGTGTTGCTTACTGTCACGGTCAATTTTTTGAGGTCATGTCGAATTGAATTTCGAATTTTGTAGTTTCATTAGGTTGATATTATTCAGTACCAAACTTCGCGTGAATAAGTTTTCGCTTAAATAAGTGATGCAGTTTATTAAATGGGGCCGAGAATTAATTTATACACCTAATAAATTCTATTGTAGGATTTAAGATTCGAATATTAATAAAATCGATCATGTCTTTTTATATTTTTATATATAAAGATCACTCACAGAAAATCAAAAAATGGAATTACATAGCAAGGCATTGAAATATCTTCGGCAACATACTAAACGATGTATGGCTTGTGGCGAGATACAATTTGCAAGATTATTAGGGAAAACGACCATGCAGGAAATTAAAAGAACAAAACGACTAACTGTCGATATTAATAAGATACATCAACTTGAAGAAATAATTTATACTGTCAAAAAAGAGGCAGAAAACGGTATCTTATTTATCTGGAATCAGTTTTGAATCCAGCTTGAATTGTATGCATTATACATACAATTAAGCTGTTATATAGATATACAGCAATTTTGAAATAAATGAAGAATTTTTATATTATATTGTTGTAATTACATGTATAAAAAATTAAAAATTATAATAATTTTATAATAATCTAAAGAAAATATTATTACAAGATATGCAAGAGGAAGATGAAAAAACATCGGTTTGTCTTAATATCTTTCAAAAAATCAGAAAACCTACCAAGACTTTCTCTAACGTTGACTTCGCCAATTGTCAATGCCATCTTATCTTAATGACTGTCTATGCTCAGATGTTAGAACATTGTCAAGGAATCGGTGAGTCAACGTAAATCAATATTATCATGCATAACAGATATTATACATATTTTCTATTCTCTTTAAATTTATAAATCATTATAATTTAAAACCTTTTTCTATTTCAGGAAAACAAGATATAATCTTGACGGCGATTTTAGAATTCGTGGAGATCTGTTTAGCAAATAATAATGTACCTCAAGCTCGCAGACTTCTGAGTGATGCTGAAACTCTGGTTCAACAAGTAAACAAAACGGATATAATAGTAAAATAGTAAAGTAGGTTTAAAAAAAAAGACAAATTAATAGTCCTTAACGATAGATGGTCGAGTCCAATGAAGAGAAATCAATCTTCCTATGTTATCTCACCGCAAAAATTCAGACGTTTCAAGGTAAATGTCATTTGGAAAGCGGTTTAATTTCCGAAGCAAGAAGGAAGCTAAAAGAGGCAATGCGCAGTCTAGGCTATCATTTTCCTCAACGCAAATTCACAATCGACTTGAAGTCTACGACTCAACTCGAACTGCTAAGATGGAGATTGATCTGTCCTAAATGTTGGAATATTAACATCGCCGATGAACTTACTATAAATTATATCGAACAACTGGCTAATTGTTTGGCACTGATATTTGTTGTTTTCAGAGTAAGATTCATTATTTATGTTGAATTTTAAGACATAATTGTTATTAATTATAATTTAAAGGGAACAAAAGATATGAAAAAACATGCACGGCTAGCGACCATTTGGAGCTTAAATGCTGCACTGGATGCGTCAAATGATTTTCTCACACTCTGCACTTCGTTCACGAACATGATGATCATTGCCCACGTCTACCAAACCAAGTGATAGCCTAAATTTAAATACAATTACTTAAAACTACGAAAAAAGTCCTTAAGTTGATGAAATCAATTAATCAATAATTTTCACCAATAAAACTTATTACCAATCGTTTGTAACATTATTAAGTTTATCTTTTGTTAATGAAACGAGAACATTTGTTACATTATTTAATTATATGTGAGTAGGTCAATTGTTCCTTATTTGGAAAAAGAGGCTCTCAGTATCTGTGCGAAGAAAAGAGATTCACTTGAACTTCAAGAACTTAAAGTCATCGCTGAACTTTATGCAGGGATATTTTTTTCGCGATGGTTGAGAGGAGAAATCCACAAAGCGATCAGAATCGGCTTTATCACAATGAGGATGGCACAAACTATGGACTCTATGTTCCTTAAATTGCTCATACTACCGAGATTAGTACACTTGCTCATGATTTCATGTCGTCATTCGGAAGTCGTGACTTTGCTAAGAGAGTTAGGTGAGTTCTCCGAATCAATAGACAGACGAAGCTTATAATCTTAACATATATATAATGTTATTAATGAATTTTAAATATATCTTGTAAATATATCTAATAAACTATATGAATCAAATCAATTGATATTTAATTACATATAGGAATATATTTAAAAATTGTATTCACACAGAATTTGTATCGCGAAATGATTTGGATAAATCAAGTCGGACTTGGTATTACGCCATGTGTACTGATGTGCAACTCGATACCGGTCTCACAGTATTGTCGTTTCAAAATTGCGATGAATATTATATTCAAGAAGGAGAGACCATAATCAGCCTCCACGATCCCGAAGCGGAAAGGAGATATTTCACGTCTATGTGGTTGTGGTAAATATGAGAAACTTCGTTTTATAAAAATCTAAGAGAATTAATCGGTTCTGAAAAATATACCTACATTATTCAAGGTGCATTAGAACGCAGCATCGAAAGTTGGGAACAGCAGGAACGTGACGGCTGAGAGTGTAGCGGATGAGCACAAGGTGGCAGCGACAATTACTGCGTTGAAGAAACTCGAGGGACTGTTAATTTTATACGGTAAAGTAGATGAATATTTAAATATTATGTATATATGTATTTGCACAATATTCAAATAATAATCTCAATACACACATATATGTATACATATATATACATATATATATAATTATTATTAAAATAAAGTCTCAATTTGCAGTAAGAGAGATTACTAACAGAAACATAAACGCATTGCAAACGTTTACGGAAATCAAGCATGAATTCAGACATATCAAAAGTATGATAAAAATAGTAAAAATTGCAGTTCCCAGGTATAAAAATATATTTATTAGTAATAAATATTTAATTTATATTTATAATTTATTCGTATATGTATATAATTTACATTTTATATTAATTCGCGTAAAATAATTTAAAGAATTATAACTCAAAATTAACTTTGACAGTACATTAAAATTTTTTATTTGTTTATTTTTTTTAAATTATTTTAAGAAATCAATATGGTTGTTGCAGGTATATGTTGATGAAAGCTTACTATTATATGACACAATTGCAAAAAAATGCTGCAATAAGAATGCTACAAAAAACGAAGAAGTTATGTATAAAAGTAGACAATATAATGATTTATGCATGGGCAAATCATTGTCAGCAGGTACATTCAAATTTTATTTCTATTATAATATCACGTAATCTATTAAACTTTATTATATTTAGGATTGGCTAGGTGCCATATCTTTTATACACAAGGATTTATGGACAGAAAAAACTAAGGAGCTACGTGATGAATGGGATGAAGTAAATGCCAATGATTCAAAGATGATTCCTTATACATTTCCATTACCGAAATATATGTGAATATCTATAATCCTAATTTAAATATTTATATATAATAAGTATAAATATATGATAAAGTTAACAAAACAGATAATAAAATATTATACTATTATTTATTAAAATTTTTTAATGTTTAATTATATAATTAATAATGTATCTCTTAATCTCTTAATTAAACTTTAATATTAAAAGTTTATTAATTAGCTTATTAATTAAAATATATCGTGTAATATGGTTCAATTAATATAAATTAATAATAAAAGTATTGAGAAGGGCTACGAACCATAAGAAAACAATATTTAAAATGAAGATATAATAAAATTAAGCAGAAATAAAACAATAATACACAAATAGCGTTTCGAGCCCGATTGGGTCATTCTCAATGTTAATACAAAATGATAAGTATATACATAATTTAAAATATAAAACGATTTAAAATTGGTGGATAAAAAGATAAAAAAAATATATGTACAGACTTCTAATAAATGTAAACTGGTTATAAGATCACATCTTGTCGTTATTAAGCTGATGTTACGTCCAAAATGCTGTAGCATGTGTCATTAGATGTCAATATAAAAAAGCTCTTTGTTTGGCAAAGTTATTGTGCGTAAAAATATTCGTTATAATGTATCGCAATTATAAGTATCAATTCAAGGTCTATAAGAACGGAGAGACAATATGTACATTATTATAAAAATATAATTAAAGTTTAATTCATTAATTAAACTTTAATATATTAGATCTCTCTCAAAGTTTTGTCAAAGACCTCAAGAAAGTAATCTTCTTATTTGTTTGTTTCCTCAAAATTTAGTTTGCGAAGACTCTTTTTTGCTTTTTTGCTTTTAATACGAAAATTCAAACTTCTTTTATACTTAAAGTCTTAACAACTCAGAGAAAGAAATATTTTAAACTAAAATAAGAGAGAAAGAAAGAGAAAGAGAATATAGGGGATTAAAAACTTTTATATTTCAAAATTTGTAGTTTAATAATTGTATAATGTAAAGTAAAAAAAAACGTATAACGTGTCACAATACTGGGATATGTCATACAACATTGACATTGACTTGTTTTGTGGCTCACAGACCAAATGCGGATTGTTAATCGTTATTTATATTTGTTGCATCATTGTGCAACGGTACACGGTGTGTGTTTCGTTAATGATAATGCGTGTACCGAGTAGCTAGAAGTGGTTTGTACTATTAAGTGAATGGTGATCGGTATAAACAAGCCAATGCTACTCGAAAGAGACCTACATATCTTTTTTCTGAACCAATGAGAAGCAGGAACGTTTTATTGCCTAGATCCATGGACCAGAGATTCGAAACAAAGTAACAGAAGAATTTGAAAATTTATATTACTTAATTTATTAAAAAAAAAAGTAAATAATTAAATATAGAAAACACACGTCCGCGTGTTGCACTTTATTGAATCAGCGATAATTATATTTTCCAAAATAAACTTTGTTTATAATTTTTACAGATAATATTTCATATCTATATACAGATATTTTTTTACAGTTTCCCCTTTCTTCTCTTTTTATCTTTTTTTTTAAAGAGCTAGTCTTAAAAATCTTAAATAGGAGAGACGATAATTTTTGTAGATTTAATTTTTATTTTTGTTAATACATACTCTAAACGTAAAATAAATGTTTAGGACTTATAAATGAGCAAAACACTAACTGAAGAGACGTGTACATACAGCCATTTGTTCTTTGTGTGATAGGGGAAGAAAAAGACGCTTCAATCATTTCTAATCACTATACGCGTCTTTCTTTTTTAATCTGACAAGGACTATCTGTTTCTTTTTACCTCTACAAGGCCTCAGTGCACTATCACTCGCGCTCATTGATCCGCGCGAATGCATTTATGCAGATTATCATGTCGTATACAATTTATGTCATATGAGAAAGATGTCGGACGAAAATATTGGCAACTTTATTTATTGCTAATATTAACTAATATTTATTGCATATATAAAACGCAACTGCTTATTCGAATTGGTCTACATTGAATATTTGATGTAACATATTAAAATAATAACAACGGCGAAAGTTAGATATTTTTTATGCATAATTTTGAATATTAAATAATAATAATTAATTTATTGTGAATATTACATATTATTAAATTTATAAACTTATAAATACATAAATAATATAATATTTTTGAGACTTCCGTGGATATTTTCTTCAAAAGAAGCTAGACGGTTTGTAGATTATCTTCATATCTTGATATATACTGTTAAATCGTTTAAATTAACAAAAAGAAATGTTTTGTGAATATTGCAGTTTTACTTATTAGGGAAAATTAATCTGATACAGTATCAGATACAGTACGGATATTATTGCTTTTCTTATTGTTTGGATAAAAATTGGTGAGATGTGTTATTATCCATTATGCATTATTATTGTTTATAAAACCAACACGGAAAATATTAAGCAGTTACGAAATCTAAACACTATCTAACTTCTGATGCGCTCCTTTATTATCTACACGCCTCATTATACCACATGTCACACGCAACACTGTTATACACAGCAAGTGTTTGTTAGAAGAGACTAGTAAGTGCAGCCTACGTTTCTTTAAATACTAAGCCGTCTACCTCTGTACGACAATGAAATAAGAAACACAAATAGTCAAGAGTAAGAACCTGTATTTAGCTCAGCTAATTCAAGAGAACTTCACGATACAAGGATATTATGTCGTAATCATCCATTTAATTAATTCCTTCAATTAAAAATACGAATAATAATAACAAATCATTTTTTATTTTATACTTTACCATCGAAAACATAATTAACTAATTTTTATTCAAATATATAAGTTTTATTAGATAAATTTACTCATTGTTCTCTTGTATAGGAAGATGAAAAAGTATATAAAATAATTACCACATGATATCCACTGGCTAAATCTATACAGTACACTTAAATTGAAAAATTAATGTAATAGCTATGTAAATTAAAATTTATATAGGTTTACTTAATTTTATTATATAAGTATATAAATTAAAATTTATATATACTTATTATTATTCTTTGTTTAAATTAAAAATTTATAGAAGCTTGTTGGAGGAAGATTATTTTATTGTGAGTTCTTATTATTTTCTTCAATTATTTGCAATAATATATAATTAGATAAGTGTAGTAAAGAATACTGTCACAATATTTTCGAGATACCTGCGTATCTCGAATATTACCCGAGCATTTCAAGTATTTGCTAGATTATTTTAATAATGTATGGATAATACCTTTATTCGGGTCATATCTGTAATTCTCTAGGAAAAAAATGTTTGGTTGAATTAACTGGAATTCTGGTAAAAAATGAACGAACCAGAGTTCTAGTTAAATCTACAAAATTTAGACTTTTAGACTTTTTTGTTAGTACTGATAGCACTACACCGTAAATACAAATGAGTCGCATTGTGTTGTACTTGAAAGTGAAATGAAAACGTGATTGTCATTCAGTGAGGAGATTCTAGGATTGTGCGAAGTGGAGCACTTAACGAGAAAGGACTAAAGCTCAGGCACCATTCATAATTATCCATGCGACAGGTAATTGCTGATCCATATACCGGCCTTCGCATTCGACGTACTGACATATCGGCATATGTTGACCGTACGTCTATGTCACACTCGTCACAGTGGATTCTCGTCGAGAGTGGCATCGTTCCTTTGGCATCTCCATTTTTTCCTCTTACTTCCTCCCGCGTACGTCCTTAGAGAAACTCGTTTCTAGTCGACGAGATCTGTTCCAAGGGTAGCTACTTTGCGCATTCATGATCTGAATTTTCATCGTGGTTAGATGAAACGTGAGTTGTGACGCGATCAGATCTGCAAGTCTTACTTCTACGATCACCGATCGCCGATTGCCTGCATTGCGAAGGTGCACAAGGTCACAAGGTCATGGAAGTCTATTCGCTCGGAGTTCGCGTGAGATCCAAGGAAGCTCCTCTTGAATTCTAAAGTATTTCTTGATATCACTATCTTATCGTCAACTGCATGATTACTTTATTGGGACACTTTTATCAGTCGAACTTATTTGATTATACTTATGTACAAATCAAATTTTTTCTCATTGTTATATCAACACTCAATAGTTTTCTCTGCTAATGTAAATAAATGTCGATAACGCAAATCCGAAGTATATACAAGGTGTATCCAAAATAATGTACACTAATCATATAGTGCTATTCTTAATAAAAAACTGAGTCGAAAAGTCCTCTACCATTTTGCAATTTTCACAATAGTTCACAAGATATTAATTACTAAATTCTGAAAAAATTCTCAGAACTTTATGAGAAGAAAATAAACAATTTTTGTCTTTCGCTGTTTTT